AACAGCTGAGCACTCAACTGTTGTGACAGCAGTGCTCCTAAACCCGATGACTCCTCTAAAATGTTTCCAATGAGCCTAGGTTCATCGTTTTTTTTTTGAATCCCCTCTCTGCCAAAGAAGTCATTGTATCTTGAAACTGCCTATTCCATGGTCAAGTGGGGTCAACATTCAAAAAGTCATTCTGTACAACTACACTGCGTCTTTCACCTCTCTGAATTACCTATTCTTTCCAGTTCAGAGAGGGGTGACCAAGATTGAATTTGTAGTCAAGTCTCTTGAGGGCTGAATGGAACAAGAGACCAAGAGAAATTTCCCCCCAAGACATTTAATACATAGCCCAGAACCTTGTGTCTAAGAGGCATATTCTAATTCTATTTAGATGAGTAAATGTTGAGAAGACCCAGAGGGACCACACTGGCTTTTTAGAAGTGCTTGATTAGCTGTCATGTGTAAAAGGAGTTAGTCATTTTTTCATATCCCTGACAATAGCCCTACAACCAATCTGTTAACATTTAAAAGAAATAGAACTTGCCTCTGTACAAAGAACATTTTAAGCACTCATTTCCCTGATAAAGCATCCCCCTATCATGTGATATGATACAGAGGGAGCTGGGAGTGCAAAGGTTGGGTCTTTGGAAATATCGGCGTGAAGGGTGACAAAAAGGCAACTATTTAAAAGAGCAAGACCACCAGCGGCCCCGAGTTGAATGCTCGCTTTGTACCAGGCAGCACTGGCCTCTGTGCATTTCATTGATTAGCTCAGTGAATGCTCCTCACCCTGTGAAGGTGGACCCGGTCATTTGCAACAGTATGCAGATGACTGCATGATTTTAAAAGGCTAAGGAACTTGCCCAAGGCCATGCAGCTAGCTGGTGACAGAAGCATGATGGGAACCCAGAGCTACAGGGCTGCCCCCAACCAGAGCCAAACTGACCACCTCCCTGGAAGTGGGTGTGGCAGACAGCAGGTAGGGGAGAGGGGCCAGCAAGCCACAGCCACATGGAGGCAGGCCAGGAGGGAGGAAGGGAAAGCGAGTCGGACTGGGATCCACGCTGGCGCTTGATGCTCAGAGGATGACATCCCTGCTGGGAGCTAATGGGACACAGAGGGGACTGGGCAAACGACAACAGCACGTGTCACACTGCCCCCTTACTGGAGCAGACTGTGACAGAGGACATTTCTGGGGTCACATTGTGGGGAAGCAGCCTGTCTGAACCCCCAAAAATGGAGTGAATCAAGAAGGGAGCATACCTGGATAAACCATCTGGAGGAGAAAACAACAGGACCGATAGTTCTGGGGGAACATGGGAGAGGGGGAGGTAGGGGAAAGGAAGTGGTGTTAACAAACCCAGGGACAAAGGAACAACAAGTGATCCAAAATCGGTGGCAAGGAGGGTGTAAGAGGCCTGGTAGGGCTTGAGCAAGGGTAATGTAAAATGAGAGAAAATACTGAAACCCAAATGAAGACTGAGCATGATAGTGGGATAAGAGGAAAGTAAAAGGAAATAGAGAAACGAACTATGAGGTAAAGGGCATTTATAGAGGTCTAAATACAGGCGTGTACAAATGTAAATATATTTATTTATTTATCATAAAGAGGAAAGAAATCTATGTGCATATATTTTAGTTTAGTACTTTAGTTTAGTAGTTTAGTACTAAGGTAGCAGATGGACATTGGGCCTCCACTCAAGTACTCCCTCATTGCAAGAACACTTTGTTCTATTCAACGGGCATTCCATGATGCTCACCTTCCCGATACAATCGCTGAAAATAAACCAGATGCATAAGCAAATGTGGTGAAGAAAGCTGATGGTGTCCAGCTATCAAAAGACATAGCATCTGGGGTCTTAAAGGCTTGAAAATAAACAAGCAGCCATCTGAGAAGCAACCAAGCCCACACGGAAGAAGCACACCAGCCTGTGTGATAAAGAAATGTCAAAGGGATCAGGTTTCAGGCATCAACAAAGGAAAAATCCTATCATTGTGTGCCCACCTTCCTGGTACGATTGCTGAAGACAAAGCGGGTGCATAAGCAAACGTGGTGGAGACAGCTGATGGTGCCCCGCTATCAAAAGATAAAGTGTCTGGGATCTTAAAGGCTTGATGGTAAACAAGTGGCCATCTAGCTCAGAAGCATCAAAACTCACATAGAAGAAGCACACCAGCCTGTGCGATCATGAGGTGTTGAAGAGATTAGGTATCAAGCATCAAGGAACAAAAAGCACATCATTGTGAATGAGGGGGAGTGCAGAGTGGGGATCCAAAGGACATTTGTGGGCAACTGGACATCCCCTTACAGAAAGGTCATGGGGAGGAGATGAGCCACTTAGGGTGCAGTGTAGCAATAATGAAACATACAACTTTCCTCTAGTTCCTTAATGCTTCCCCCCACCCCCACCCCCCACTATCATGATCCCAATTCTACCTTACAAATCTTACTAGAACAGAGGATGTACACTGGTACAGATAGGAACTGGAAACACAGGGAATCCAGGATAGATGATCCCTTCAGGACCAGTGCTGAGAGTGGTGATACCGGGAGGGT